ATGGCGGCAACAGCGGGGGCGAAGCGATGGACACCCCGAAATTCGCGTTTCCGGTCACCGAACAGCGACACGACAGACACGTCAACAGCGGCAGCAGCAACAACAGCGGATCGACGCTTAAACTAAATATATGTTACGTCCCGTTCTGCTAATCTGGTTAACTGCATTGCCGTTTCAGACACACGATGGCCTTTCCCAACAGGAAGCGATCTCACTAAGTATTGCTAACCAAGGTAGATACGCAAACACGAAATTACCATTTCGTCATGGCGGGGTAGACTAGCTCGCGATAACACGCTTAACCAATACTGCACGAGTACGCCTGCATCTTTCTGGTGCTGCTCTTCCACCATGAGCTAGGGCGAAGCCTAGGTCCAAAGTTGCAGAAGGCCGCCAAGCAGCTGTACTGTTGGAGCTCTGCCAATTTCCTGACATCTACAACTGCAGAATAAACTAATTGTTTAAGTTCTCCTCTCGTCTTTTACTATTACTGCTATTGTGCACGCTGTCAGATAATACTAATTTTACTAAAATTGTGTTCAACGTCATCAGCATAGCCAGAAGTCGGTACAAACACGGAGAAGGCCGGTTGACACTTATGATGGCTGATTCGAAAGGAAGGGCGGGCAGACGCATTGGGCAGGTAACAGCCATCTACTTGCAAGTGCCTCCCCGATTTTAAAAAAAGGTATTGAGATTCGTGGTAACCACAGCAAATCCAAATTTGAGTACAACTTTACGTGTGAAGGGTGTGCTTACTTGACAGATGTAGATCATTATGTTAACTTTAGTCCAGGCAATGGATAGAAATGTCTAAGCGAGAACAGTTCACACGAACTTTACCTACACAACTAAATATGATCCACCCTTTTTGTAGATGCACACGCATTAATTAAACCGATGGGTAATGCCGACCTCCCTGTACATGCGGCAATAATGTGGGCCCGCCTTTTGCACCACGTGCGTTCGGAGTCAGTTGTCTGCTTTGTTGAATAATCGTGTTTGACAAGAAAGAAAACAATTCGATTATAAGAAAAAACGACCATTTTCATTGAGCTTCACCGCAAGGCTCTAATGTCCGAAGTAATCTATTCATTCTCAGAAGAAGAACGCACGGAGAGTTAAATGATTCGATGAAGACACAATGGACCCATCGCTACTGGATGAAACCGGATTACAGACAGATTACGCTGTGAGGTTCGTTCATTTACATACATGCGAACAGCAGACAAACAGGCAGGAACGTCTGGTCTAACTGCTCCGCTCAAGAGTCAGGGGATCGATTAAGCATAACCGCTACCTGTCATTATTTTCGTTATTACTGTAGAAAAATGAGCTTTTCAGCTTTCCCCGAAAAAAACAGATCGATAATATGATTTTAAAACAAAATCTTTATGCTGTTGTAGTAAACTACAAATGGAACTAAGTTTGCTAATCCCGAGAAAAGGAGAAAGGACGTTGGTGGTTAGCGCGAAAGAGCTACTATTACCAGCTGGCTCTCTTATGCGTTCTTTATATGGGGGAACGCATTGTACGCGGGGATTATGCTAAACGCTCACGTTATAGCGATGACTGTCCCATAGCAGAAGTATTTATTTTATTTTTCTAGATGCTACGTGGCGCTGGTGAGCGACTACTAGGTAAGAAGATAGGAATACTATAAGAGGCTTATTTTTAAGCCTTTTTTAAGTGAATTATTTTGATTAGATTCTGAATTAGCGATCTTTGATTGTACACAAAAGTAGAATAAAACAGCGTCTTTCTTTTTTTAATAGTAACAGTAGCATTATTTTGATTAACGCTGAATAGGTTTCGGCTGCGGCCTCCAGCTACATTAAGCCCACACAGATATAATCACATACATAATTCGGCAACGTTTCATATGAACAAAAGTCGGAGCGACGCCTAAGAAAATGAATGAACTATTTTTCGTTTTTTTTTTTTTGGTCTGTTGATTTCTATTTATATGCTAAACGGATCTTCAAAAATTTCCACCGCCGTGCCTTTATTCGGATAGGGACAAACTCATAAGCAACAACAGCTACGATAATATTTCTAGTATTACTCACGTATGCGTCTCGTTACGCTAGGGACGCAGGCAGGGCGTAAAGAAACTCAGCTTTATCGCTTACCCTACTTTTATTTTTGATTCTACGATTGTTACTTTCAACTAAATATCCATGAAAAAAACAAATACATACATCTGCCTGCGGCAATCGATTTTGTTCAGTTAAGTGACAGCGGCTGGCGCTGAAGTAATCGCTGACGTTATTGATCACCACACCCTTAGTAAACTATGCACCTTCATTCACCAAAAACGTTCTTGAAAATTATTTTTTAAAAATCTTCTTACTTAATGTTTGCTAGTTAACTCTTGACCGCCACGTCGTTGAATTTGTATCAGCGAATTTGTCCACCAGGCCTAGACAAATATCGGCGGTGGCAGCACCGTCGACAGTACTTAGGACAGCTTGTGGCCGTCTAATTAGGCTTTAATCTAATACTGAATACCGCCACCGATATAACTGTTCTAGTGAACGAAAAGCGTACGACAACTCAATTGTGACCTAGCTCAAGATAAAAATCACATATAGATAAATGCGCCATTTTCTTAGAAGCATGTACTTAATTAGATTGTAGTATTTCTCCCCATGATGCTCCACTGGTAACGTGCTTGGCTAATAACATTATGATGATATGATCCGGTATAGTATTCGCTGTTACGGGGGTAAACGTGCTTCGTTTTGTGCTGGGGACCAACCATAAATTTGCTGAACGCCAGTGCCGCCCATAGAAATTGAAAGAGAAAATTTAATAGAACCCATAATATATTCGAGTAAGCACTTCCCGCAAGAATTGAACCAAATATGCTATAGTTACTGCATTATAAGTGCGGTTGAGATTGCTTAATTTAGATTGCTTACAAAATCATTGCTGAAGGCGAATGTCCGTGGTTGAACTACTTTATTACTCTTCGTTTCATTGAGCTTCGTACAAATTACACTTCTGTTCCATTAGATCCGCTTTGTCCTGTGAACTATGTTATAATTATTATTTCGTTTTCTTTTCAGTACGCATTAGGAAAAGCTGCAAACTTACTGGCGTACAAGACGACCGTTCCCAGGTAAGATAAGCAAGGGAGGGATAATGGTCTACTAAGTTAGCTATTCTTTGAACGGCTCTATTCGAAGTGTTATAGTTCGAAGCTAAAAACAGAACCCGTTTCAGCAAAAAGCTTCCTTACAGTTGACTGCGAAATTGCGCAGCGAAGGTGGAATAAAAGCTTAACGCCTTCAGATCAATGAAACAGAATTACATAATACAATTGTAGAATTTCCTACTTGCCTAGGTTTCTATCGCTCGCCTATATTATATAAGAAAAAGAAAGAATTTTCACACATTTCAATACGTAAACGATTCACATACATCTTCTTCATAACGATGAACGTACTTCACCCTGAAGGCAGAATCCATAGCGATCATTCGGTACACATAACCCCACCAGACGCTGTTGTACGAATTTTTGCGACTCGTCCATAAAGGATCACGTCAGTGTTACCAGTATCGCTTGTAAAACGAATATCCCGGCTTCAGCGCGTACTACAAAATAGAATGAAGCTCTAATCACCTTCGCAAAAAGGTATAGCCACTCACGAGGGCTAACGAAGACGAACGTCCAGAGTCTTTAGGCGAATCGTTATGCGTAAACAACGACTGTGTTGTAGTATAATAAATACGGTCGTGCTTCGTCTACCTCATTTGCTTTTAGACAAATGCTTTGTCTGGGTTACAACTGTTAGCTTAGTGACTAACATATTTGCTTACTAATCTGAGGGACACGCTGTGGTCTAGGTTCGAATCCCAGACAGTGCTGGGAGCCATCCTGGCCGTCTGATGCAATGCCTTACAACGATGTCGGACTCGAAACATAGAAAAGATTGTCAACGTCCTAATATGTATTTCTCATAATTTTCCTGGCTAGACTAGATCAACTATGAACTCACATTGTGCGCCAATTAAAAAACGCTCACGCGCTTCGAATACTGTTCTGCCGTGCGGCCGCGGCAACTTCTCAGACGAAATGCACACACGACAATATCGAAAAAAGTACTTTGTTATTTATTTCTTTATTTGGCCACATAAAGATAAGGTGATGCAGTACTGGAATTATTTCCGTATCTAGTTCTAGTAAGATTAGAAATTCTGTTTCCTATTATACCGAGCGAGTATTGGTACTAATTTAGGTAATCGGTTAGGCTTTTCTAAGTTAGGGAGACCCCACAAAACTGACGAATGGAACAGTTCTTAAAATAACCTGAACATTCGCTAGAGTAACACAGCCTTAACCTAACAAATTTAGCCATAGATGTTGACGGCCTTTTTTTCGCAGCGCAAACACCTACTCACGCTTTTGGCCCGTTGAACATAACGACAACAAAGCAAGGCTTCAATCTAACCCATACGTCCTTTCCGGGTTTTCCCTAGTCACCAAAAGCCTTTACCAGCTCTGAATTCTGTCCGTCTTTCGAGCATCGTTGTATCTCGCAGTCCCTAATCAGGCCGCTGCAATTAGGATACTGGCCTCATGGACAAATGTGCTTGTTTACTGTAAGCTTCAAGTTCAAAACTAACGTTTTAGTAGTTGCTTATACGTCCGCCTCATCCCTGGAGGTCGCATTAGAGAATTGCCATTAATTTTATTACTCTGAAGATCTTAGCCAAATAAAACAGTTAATACATTTTAGCCTTCATAATGGATTGTCCTTTCTCCTCTTTGCCCTAAGCGAACATCAAACCGGTTTTCATTATCGGTTTAATTACATATATCAAACTTTTTCGCACAAGTTCCCTTAACGTTTTAGATCTCCACTTTATAACCGTATCGTGACTATACTTAAACAAATCCTTTCACTGCGTTGGATTTTTTTCAAGGATGAGTGCATATGTTAAATACGTTAAACTGATTGGCGTACGATTGTAACGCTGAGTGAATTTCTTACCATGACCGGGTCCATTGTCTTGAAGCGAGATGGGCGGGGGCTGAATTGGCCCTCAGAGAGGCCGCTCGCCATAAGTAGCAACAGGGACGTCGCCAACTCCGCCAAGCTGCCCTCGCTGAAGCGCCAACGTTATCGCGGAAAGCGCTGTCATCATCAGCCAAATAGAGAACTCTTGAGGAATTCAATGTTTCACAGACTCTCCCTCCACCTACTCCACCTGTTGGAACAGAAAACCAAAAGTCAGTACCACAGCAACTGTAGCAAATGTAGACATTAAGTTAAGTTAGAACTTCATTTTCAATAGTGCTGTAAATAATGTCTGCGGGCTTGTTAGCTAAAACAGAAAAAAAAAAAACCTATAATGAAGATTGAGTAACCTAAGAGGCAATTTTGAGAAAATACATCCGGAAAACATTTGACCTGCCAGTCATAACAACTAAATGTTTCGACTTTTACGTTCGGTGCTGCATTCTATCAAACATCGCGTGAAACAAGCTCGCAAACTTTTGAAAAACGACGAAAGCTTTTGAACGACGAAACGTTTTGAAAAAAAACGAAGTGCGCACACGGCCGGATTCGAACCCAGATTACCACGCATCCCTCAAGTTTAGCGGGTAAATGCGGTACCCAGGACGTCATCACGGGGACCAGCCATAACTAGCTCTACTGAAACAGCAGGAAAAATTGAAGCGGACAAGATAGGGTTTACCACGGTAGATATGTTGTTAAATACGTATAGAACAAGGTGAAAAGAACTCTGTCGGAAAATGACTCGTTTAATTGATAATAACGATATTCTCTAAGTCCTCTACACGCAGACCTCCGTGCATCTATCTCTATATGGCGAGAAGGGCACAACAGCTTTTTCCCGATTAGTATTATCACAGCTTAGTGTTACTTCGTTTAGCCAATTGAATCCTCCAATATGTACACATTTGGAAGACGTTCGACATCTGACAATATGCATCCACAAGATATCTCAAATTTGCAGATCTTTATATAAATCAAAACTGACAACAGAATCAGCTTTAGCTGATTATTAAAATCTTGTATTATATCTAATCTCATACGTGGCTGGTTTCTAGCTGAATCAACGCCTGCGCTGCTCTCTCAAAAAATACAGTGAAGCACCGATCATTCCAATGTGCTTGAACAGAAGCTCGCAGCTGTTGATACGCATAGTCAGTAGTAACATACAGTTCATATTTCATTGAGTTGATACATGTGTTGAAAGAGTTAGGCCTGCCCATGTTCTCCTATAGCTATCTAAATTTGTTGACAATTTGGACAGTCGTAGCCGAAACACCTACCGTATATTATTATTATGTTACTAAGACCTCGGCGTCGCCTATCTCGATTTGAACAACGGTTACAGCTCAGAGCAGTCCACGTCCGGTTCCCCGTGAGAACTCGATTAGCGGGCCTCTCCCTGAGAGCCCAGGGCTTCCATTAGCGGGCCTTGACCTTTTTGTCTCCCGAGATCATATATATGGCTCCGTATATATTATCCTAATACAGACACCCATAGTTATTTCACGGTTGGTTGGTCGACTGGTTGTCTTTGGTCTATCGCCACTGTTGACTGACAGTTAGTTTCTACGCATTCAAACAAAAAAAAAGAACTGTTTCTGTTCATACCATTGCAAAACACATACGGGATATAAGTGTTTGTGTTATATAGTTTCGTGCTTACTAATTTGGTTACTGCTAATCCTAATGGCTTCTGGTTTATTTAATCATTCTAATAATAATAATAATAAGGTTTCTAATAATCAGTTCTGCCCCTGCGAATAATGTTAAACCCTCTGAGATTCTGCTACGTATCTGTTTATTAAACCTGTCGCTTATCACCATTAAGCCTAGGAAAACTAAACCCATATTATTAGGTATTCTGTCCAGCATTATAATTGCCATTTTTCCATGGAATCACAAGCTAAGCTCCGTGCTTTTATGGGCTGCAATGCGTGCAAATTTAATCAGACCGCATAACCTGTCTATCGTCTGTTTTGCGTAATTTTCTTAATAACATTAATGAACAAAAAATTTTTAAATTTGATGCATTGTCGTTGATGGCACTCGTCAGTCTCAAAAAGCTGGCGAGAATCAATAATTCACTTCTTGTTTTTGCTAGCGTAACTTAATGGACAATGAGCGCAGATAGATAAACATAGATCCGCATCCAATGACGCGTCTGCTACAGCTCCTACGTCATGTTTTGAATACAATTTACGAGGAAATGATTTCAGGCGTCATTGAGGTCTAAAAGATCACCAGGAGAAAAGGGTGATCGAGACGAGTGTGATGATGACAATAGTGAATTCGGATGGACGGCCCGTGAGGTAACGCAACACGCAACAAAGTCGCAAGGGAAAAGTCTACTTGAACAATTCCATTTTTATCGACATTTTGTGATCTCGATGACGGACAACTTGCCACACCTTCTATGTTAGTAAAATTGGTCATATCATTTGTACAAATCACGAAATTCATCCCTGAATAGCGCAAAGGAGTAACGCAAAGTAACGACATTCAATATTCCTTGAAATAGGTGTAGAAAACTTCTCCAGATAGTCCATGGTCTGTTTTATAAAAATTGTAAAATCGACTAAACGATGCATGACTAGTACAAGGTTCTCTCGTACTAAGACGTGTGTACGTCTTGTACGACCCCTAAAAGAGGCTATTTCTGAAACTCTAGTCGAGATCCACAGAATGGGCCACCGGCCTTATGCTCTATGGCGGCGGTTGCCGTTGGATGCGAACCCGCTACAGGTATAATCTCAATCAGCCGGCCGGATTTGCCGGCCTAGGCCGATAATTCTAAACAAACACCTTAAAACACATTGATTACTGTGGTGTTCGCCTTCGAAAAACGTACTTTCTACTTACACTCATAGACAGTCACAGAAATTAATAATGACTCTGTTGGTATTGATAGTACCGGTTCGGTCGTCTGTTAGTGATACAATCAAAACATTGAAACCCCCAAAAAATCTACTGCTATCGAATTGTTATGGATCGGATCACCATGGTGTAATAATAACAATGGTATACCATACGCCTATAGTAGCAATGAGATGTGCGCTCAAAGAAACAACGTTATGTAACCGGTAAAATATTGATCCGGGACGTTCCGTAAGATAATATATACTATTTCCAATGACAAGTAGTTTAACCCGAACAAGCAACAACGACTACACTATGCTCCTTGTAGACAGCTGCCCACGAAAATTTGATGAAGAGTGTCACAGCCACCAAGGAAGGAGCCTACCCATGACAACAACCGATCACCGAATTACAGGTCATAAACCCCTTTATTTAAAATCAATAACGGTGACCTGCGATAACAACAGTTCCTCACGGCGAATGTTACAAGTAGCGCGCGTTGCAAGGACCCTGTTCGATGAAAGTTTCTGTTATTTAGAGCATTTTATACAGCGGGCAGGAAAAGCAGATTTATTCACAGTTCATTTCCTCAATTCTATTCGATACAATATCTGGATAAATATCAGTACTTTGTTATATCGTAGTGGCACGGGGGTCATTAAAAACTTTTTCCGTGCGAGAGGGCACCGCAGTAATAAACAGATAAATGTTACTGACAATTGATCCGCAGTAAAAGCTTACATCGATTATGTACTGAACGCAAGTAGCAGGGCACAAAAAGATATAGAAATAGGAGATAAGAAGCATTCGACTTTATATTCAGTGAGTTAGCTTTAAGAGAGGGCCACATAACTGAGGTCAGAGGAACAGATAATAGTAATAACCCGTATGTATTTGACTTCGTATCGCCTTGATCGCCGAATACATTGAGTAACAACTGATAAAAATAAGTTTTGTACCAGCTTGACGCCTTTCTTTCACCCTGAATCCCTTCAGAAAGTTGGAACATATCAATAAAAAAGTCGAATGGATTTATAAAAATTCAGTCACAAGCACTTTAATATAGGCTATCCTGTGTTGTCAATCGAGGTCATGTGTTCCGTCTAAAAGCTAAAGAAGACTGATAAAACGAGTGAAATATGTGTCGTAGGCCACCTACTGCGTCTGGTCTGAGAGACTGAACTTGAATACAAAACTTATCTATCTAGAAAATAATACCAGTTTATTATTCGCAAGGAATACGAAATCTATGAGCGTTATTAACGCAAACGGAAAAAACGTGCCGCAAAGATTGAATAAATACGAGCGGTGACGAACAGGATAGTCAGCATTGCTCTTTATTCCTAGAGACGATACGTAGATGGCATGCGCTAATGTTTGTGCTAGTCCATTCATCTGTGCTACAATAAACAAATGGAAGTTTATTAAATCAGAACAACTCGAAAGGATTGAAGGAGTAGTTTATGATGGCACCAAGCATCAGCGTTCATTTCAAAAGCGTATTACGGTGATTTTTATATTACAGTAACTTAAAAGGTGCATCACTGGGTAGCCTTACATTAGCTAGAGAACAACCGGATTTCTCAAATGGCTTCGTAAGGCACACGCAACCCGCCTAAAACTGAGAGATCTCGTTGGATCCGTGATTCAGAGTTAATGGAGTACTAGATTAAATAGGCCACGACGTCAAGTATGACAGTGGTAACCGAAACATGAATTAGCCAGTAAAAGTGACTATATCGCCAGGTTAAAAAAGCCAAAAGGAAATTAATAATAATGGTGATAATAGTGCACCCTTAACCAGGTCGGAAACCCGAGGAAATCATAGTGTGTACCAATCGTATGCTCGGATCGTAGAAAAACTAACACTGTCATGGTTAGCAGGTGTAGGAGCATCTACAGTTGTACAGCATCTGCCTACGGGCCTTGGCAATGCAAGGCCCATAAGGCTTACGGCGCGCGGAGTGGTCGTACGCTGCTCGTAATAAATTTCTATACGCCAATCAATATCACTTGATGTTTCGCCCATAAATGCCAATGATACTTAACTGAGACATAATAGAGTAAGTGCCACTTCCGTATTGAGAATGTTTACAACAGGTACTGTCCACAAACAGTTCTACTTTAACTGCAGTTTATAATACTCTACTGTTTATTTTGCTTATCATTATTATTTACAGATCTTGATATCGATTGCAAGGATGAAGCATGTCTTTTCTTATATTTGAAAAGAAGTTCAGTCGAAAGAGTACGCCTATGCCTATTTTCTGCTTTAAACACTTTCATAACATGTCGTGTTTACTAACACGACAAGATCTTTATCTTTATAAATTTATCTTGCAGTAACATCAAATGAAACAATTCAAATAAATCTAGCCATCGTGCGTTCATGCCGTCAGTGTAACACTACGAAACTATTCTAGTCTATCCGTTTTACTCTACGAAGCACATTGATTGGGGTTCGGGTCGAACAGAATATTACCTGAGTTGGCTAAATATCTCAAGTACTATACTGCGTATATAGTACTTATGGATACTGTTGTTTGGCTATACAAATTAGATATAAGAGGGCCCCTTTCAGATCCAGTTTGTCTATAGTAGGTATTTCTAGTTGGGTTGTCGTTGACGCATCGACCGAACGCCAACGCAGCAAGTCAGTCATTAAAAGCTATTTTCAATTGATATCCTTGTCATCAGCAGTGCCCGGCTTGCGTAACTACGCCAGTTAGTAGTTACAGAAACTTCATCACAATAAGCATTATCGGCCGCTTAAAAACCGATCATTACAGTTATATTGCCGTTAATAACAGATGACGCTGTAGCTCGCACATCCAGTTTTTCAATCTAGAATTTGACACATTCTGGATTAGTAGTAAATGCAATCTACTGTTGGACGTCTCCATCTATCGGCTTTATATTATATATGTTTGGGCTGATATGTTAGTTATATTGAACTATTTCCACAGCAGGATCAGTTGTTACCTGGGACATGGCCGGACCCTGCGTCAGCAGTACATAGGCCGCATTAACCGTGGACGGATAGATATTCCTTCGCTCACCTGTAACGCAGAGGACAATATGGCAACTGCTACTGAGTAAATAGTTTGAGTTTTACTCATGTGTGATAACGACTCTTACCGATGCTAGTGTTCAAGAGTAAAAAAGAAAACCAGTGGTAATTTCAAATACTAGAATTACTACCGCTATCAGTGTTATTATTACTATTAGCGCACTTCGCGCCCACGCAGTCACGATTCCAATCTCATGCAATCTAAACGACGTTAATCAATGGACGAGCTCTTGACAGAGTTACTTAAAAGAATCCCCAACAAACGATTTCTCTACTTCGATCCGCGTACCGTGCACGCACTCTGTCGAGACTTTCCTCAGCCAGTCATTTAGCTAGCCTCCTATCTATCGTTTCGCCCTATATCAACTACGCCCTGTAGCTTAACTATTTCTATATCCACGCGATCCTATCACGTCAAGGCCGCCGCTCCCGCCGCCACCGCCAGATCCACCTCTGGATAGCAGCGCGCGGAAAGCGACAGACGGATTCCTCCGTTTTAAACAACGATTAGCCGCCCCTGCAGCAGATCGACATCAGCGTATTCTACATAGAA